ATTTCTTCTATCTCATCATCTTCATAATCTTGAATTGGGGTGTCTTTTTCATTTGGGGGCGTCATAGTGTCTTCCTTGTTCTTGTTACCTCAGTTGTTGCATTTGTTGTTTGGCATATTGAGATATTCTTTGGTTTCTTCACTGTGGTGCTTTTTCTTGTTATACTATGACTCTAGATTAAGTGGACTGTCTGCTTTTGATGGAGCCTTAGAGGCTGGAGATGGGTGTGGCCTGAGAGCTCTGTTTGGTTCCTTAGGGTTAAGAGTGTGCCAAAGGTGACACTCCCAGATTAGGAGTGGTAAATATCTCTCTCTTTCCTTCTTTCTTTTTTTGATTCATAAGGGAAGTAATTCCGCACAGCTCGCATTCCAGCATTGGTGTGCTGAGTCTGCCACTGGTGTCCTGAACTGTGGGCTCCCACGCTCTTCACGCAGGTCCACTGTGAATTACTCGTTCCTGAAGAGTTTCTTCTGCTGTTTCTTCCCCTACGCTTCCTTGAACCAGCAGTATCTCCACTTTTATTAAACTGTCTCTCCCCGGACTATCAGTGTGCTCCCTTCCTATTCCGCCATCTTGGAGCTTTCCCCTGGTGTTTTTTTAAGAAGTCTTTGCCTATGCCAAGGTCTTTCAGGGTTTCCCCAATTTTCTCTAATATTGTGATGATATCCAGTTGTATATTTAGGTCTTTAATCCATTTGTAATGGATTTTTGTGTAAGGCGTAAGGTAGGGGTCTTGCTGCATATTTCTGCATGTGGAGATCCAGTTTCCCTAGCACCATTTTTTGAACAGTTTTTCCTTAGTCCAGGTATTGATTTTAGCTCCTTTGTCAAAGATAAGTTGGTTGTAAATGTGTGGATTGACTTCTGGTATTTCTATTCAGTTCCATTGGTCTATCCATCTGTTTTTGTACCAGCAACATGCTAGTTTGATTATAACTGCCCTGTAGTATGTCATGAAATCTGGTATTGTGATGCTTCTGGCTTTGTTTTTGCTTTATAAGACTAATTTAGTTGTTCAGGATTTCCTGTGTAGGAAACTGACTTTCTTAAGCAAATTACCTACACTACTTACATCAATTAGATTTTATCACTTTTCCACTCAGCCATTGTTACAAGATGATACATATCTGTTATAATTCTACTACATTGTATCACATATGTAGAGTCCCATAATTCCTTCATATTAAAATATTTCTCCATTATAAAATATCATTGGGTACTCCTTTAAACTTACACTCACCCCATCCCACTTTCCAAAACCTAAAAAAAAAACTGTTATGTCATGCATCTCTATAGAATTTTCATTTCTAAAAATGTTATAAAAGTGGAATCACAGATGGTTTAAAATTTTTCACTCAGCATCTTGCCCTCAAGATCCATCCAAGTTGTAGCATGCATGAGCAGTTTTTTGTTGGTTGTTTTAATTGAAGAGTAGTGTTCCATTATATGGAAGTATTAAGCTTTGTTTCACTAATCACAATAAAGTACATTTGGTTGGTTTCCAGCATGGCCATTATAAATAAAGGTATTATGAAACTATGTGTACATATGTTTAGATGAAAATCATTTTCTGCCACTTGGGATTTATGCCAGGGGTGAATTGCTCAGGTGACATGATTAAATAGATATTGAACTTTTCTAGAAAATACAAAAGAATTTCCAAAGTAGTTGAAGCAATTTGCTTTCTAATCAGCATTAGAAGATTCAGTTTCTCTAAACCTCTGCCAATAACTGAACTATGATTTTAGCCACTCTAAGAAATGTATTATGGCATCTATTGTGGATGCCTGTGAGGTCTCTCTTCTTGCTTGGAGATGAGACCTGGGGCCTGTGCACTTGTGTCTGTATTTTAATCTAATTTTTGTACAGATACAAGTCCACATTGGATTAAACCCACCCTAACAGTGTCATTTTAGTGCAATTACCTCTTTAAAGACTCCAACTCCTCTAAGAGTCAAAGGGAGCACATAAACAAGTCTAGTATCTGCTAACACCAACCGATAGAATAAATAAAGGGGAGAGTGATCCAACATGGGAAGTGAGATACTCAGCAGACTCATAGAATGGCGGATGTCCTAAATAGCACTCTGGCCTCAGAATCAGCCCTAAAGGCACTCAGATCTGGCTGAAAAGCCCATGAGAGTATTTCAGGCATGGAAAGCCAAGACACTCTGGCAAAAAGATCTCTGTGAGTGAGATCCCAGTGGAAGGAACGGGTCTTCAAAGAGGGAGGTGCCTTTCTCTGAAGGGAGGAGAGAACCTCCACTTTGACTATGACCGTGTCTGAACAAGATAAGAGTCGGAGAACTCAAGGGGCTTCCATAGCCTTGGAAACTCATAACTGGTGCATGGGGAGATTACTGATGCCATAAACAGGAGTGTCAATTGGTAAAGTCAACAACAGGAGTCACTGTGCACTTACTCCTCATGTAGGATCTCTGTCCTTAACGTGCTGTACACTGAGGCTTAATGCTATAACGAGTACTCAAACAGTATATTTCACTTTGTGTTTCTATGGGGGTGCAAATGACTGAAATCTTTACTTAATGTACACTAAACTGATCTTCTGTAAAAAAAAAAAAAAAAAGAAAGAAATTATCAATTCCCAACTTGACTCTCACTGGGATTAAACATGACAATAGGTCTGATCTGATTTCATCATCATTTAAAAAATCATCTATTATTTTTCACTTTATGTTTCTGTGTGGGAGCAAACTGTTGAAATACTTACTTAAGGTATACTAAGCTGATCTTCTGTATATTAAGATAATCGAAAATGAATCTTGATGTGAATGGAAGGGGAGAGGGAGTGGGAAGGGGGAGGGTTGTGGGTGGGAGGGACGGTATGGGGGGGGAAGCCATTGTAACACATGAGTCATACTTTGGAAATTTATATTCATTAAATAAAAGATAAAAAAAGGAAAAAAAGACTCCAACTCCTGTTATTATTAAGTAAATGGAAAGTATGTTATTGCAAAAATTAAAGAAAATAAAAGAAAGGAAGGAAAACAGGAGATTAAGGGAAGACATGAAATCTGCTCTCTTTATATGAAAAAAAAATTTTAAAGCGATTCCTTTTCCAATGCAGTCAAATGTTCAGATATTTGGGATTTGGATTTTAACATGGGAATGTTGTATGGAAATAATTTACACCACAAAGGGTCCTTATGAAATAAATATTTTCAAAATAAATTCATTGCAGAACATCACCGAACATTTAAAATACCTTAAAATTCAAATCTCTCTCTCTCTCTCTTTTTTTTTTTTTTGGTAGTCAAGTTTTATTGTAAAATAAGAAACCGATATAAAAAGGGGATATAAAAAGGGAAGAGGACTGGGGGTGATAAATGCAAGGTGCAAAAGAAATTGACCCTGAGCACTGGGGGGAAAGTGGAACAGGTCTTAGTAGACACAGACGGTACATGATGGAATCCTCCAGGCATGAGATGGGGCCATTATCACTAAAAGGCTGGGCAGGATTTGGCTGCACCAGCACAGACCAGCTGCCCAACCGTGAAGCTGTCAACCCAGCCAGCAGGAGGGCAGGGAACCAGCACCCACGAGGGGGCCATGTCCCAGCCACCCTATAATAAAGGGTGCTTTCCAGGCCAGTCGCACAGCATTTCATTAATCCTCACAGCAGACCCCGTGAGGTAGGCATGATCGGCATTTCATGAAGTCATGGCTGTGTCCCTGCTCAGCACAGTGGGAGGGCTGGGCTTCCCACCCAGCTAGGACTGCTTCTCAGAGCATTTTTTTTCCTTTTGTTTTCCCCCAAACATTCCTCACAGTCAAAATTTTAAAAGCTAAGGTTGGCCCGTCCTAGCTCCCACCACCTCCACCAGTGCAGGCCAAGGCAAGTGGAAGAATTCCTGGGAGTTCTGAGGCACACCTCTACCAAATGGGGCTAAAGCACCTGAGTCCCAAAATGCCAGGGGAGGAGGGCATGGGGGTTGTCAACGGGGGCCAGACTGAGTTGGGCCCCTCTCTCTTGAACATTGTTTTTTTATGGCGGGAGGTAGACTGCCCCTTTTTGGCCTTCAGGTAGCTGGAGTGAGCCCTGCTCCCTCCGGGCCCCTTCAAATCTCATTTTTAAAAATTACAACTAGCGGCCGGTGCCACAGCTCCTCAGTAGGCTAATCCTCCGCCTTGCGGCGCCGGCACACCGAGTTCTAGTCCCGGTCGGGGCACCGGATTCTGTCCCGCTTGCAACCTCTTCCAGGCCAGCTCTCTGCTGTGGCCAGAGAATGCAGTGGAAGATGGCCCAAGTCCTTGGGCCCTGCACCCCATGGGAGACCAGGATAAGTACCTGGCTCCTGCCATCGGATCAACGTGGTGCGCCTGCCGCAGCGCGCTGGCCGCGGCGGCCATTGGAGGGTGAACCAATGGCAAAAGGAAGACCTCTCTCACACTGTCCACTCTGCCTGTCAAAAAAAAATAAATAAAATAAATAAATAAAATTACAACTAGCTAAATATCAATGTGGCATGAGGTACATGAAGGGAAGTCATAGGGGATGAGACAATGTTTTCATATTTGCATAAATAAGTCCAAGTTTATGAAGTAAGGGGAGGAAGAAGCAGCTGATGTTATATGTGATAAACTCTTAACATTTCTATTCAGATAGTAAATGAAATGAGAATGCAATATGACAAGTGGTGGTTTCTGGAGAGAGGGATTCAGGGAGAATTTCAACCTGGATATATTCTCTGTCATTCGCAATGAGAGTGTACACACAAAAACATTACCACAATGTAATGAAGATTGCAAACCAAAAAAAGCCCAAAGGAGTCAAGTCATGGCAAGCCTTGAATGTCTTATTACTTAGTGACTAAGCCCCAAAATGCAAGCAATGATCACATTGCTTGGAATTGCTGCTTGGGCATATAGTTGGCAATTAAGCCATAGAACATCAATCATGCTCAGTAAGGAGGGCCAAATGGGATGGGATAGGACAGGAAAGAGAGGAGGGAAACAGAGAGGCCCTTACTTGAGAGTTAATGGGGCAGATGCTGAGAAACATCTTGGTGAAGGTTGTGATGCAAAGGGATCTGGTCTCTGATTTGCTCTCAGTCCCTGTACAGGGAATCAAGAAGCTCTCTAGAATCCTTATAAGCCTCACTGGGTTACCAGCCTTCAGGCCAGCTCCTCATGATTTAAAGGACAAACAAGCGTCCTGGCATCATCAAAAGAGCTCTTCACCTGCAGAGAGAAGGATGGAAGAAAGGTAAGCATACTTAACAAGAAATGTCTGATTTCCAGTTACAGTTTTTGCTAAAATGTCATAGTCTAGGTTTCTACTTGTAAGCACCGAAGTCAGGGGTCATGGATGTTCCATGAGGCAAATGACAGCATCTTCTAACTGAAAGCTGGAATACAGCAGCCACAAATGTGAGAATTCCAAAGGGAGTCATGGAAAACTTTCTCCCTTCTGATCCATCTCTCCACATTCTCCCTTAATTCCAACCATTCACACCTGCTAAATTGGAGAGACGGCTGCCTCTCCCATGTATTTCATAAGAAGGTAACATGCAAACATTGAATCAGAGTTGAGCACTTGTCACCCAGGCTTCATTGTTGTACTTGATTTTCACTGTTATTCTACTTTATACATCTGGCAAGGTTCCAGGGGGTAGTAACACATTATCCAAACTGGGATAACTGAGAGCCTGTCAAATGGTGACCATTTACAAAGAGGGGCTAGGTTAAGCTGCAGTGACAAACTTCAGTCACGCATACTAAATCTAAGAATAGGAAGCATGATTTTCATCCCTAGACTTAAGAGACAGGGAAGCCTCCCCATGAGGGCAGAGAAGGATGAAGGAAAATGTTCATGGCAATGAGACAAAATCTAACATCTTATATCCTTCGGGTCCTTGGTCTATCCTTGTCTGAATGATATGGAATCATTTCTCCTCTTACCTACATCAGGGTTGTTTTTCCGGTTTGTACATTTTTTTCATTGTCACTTTTACTTAACCATCAGCCAATTGGTGAAAAAAATGCATCAAAAATGGGAAGAAACATAAAAGGGAAACCATATTGCTTATCATTTGCAATGTAAGTTCGGCTGTCTGAATGCAGACCCATAATAATAATGACTGTTTTTTAAAAAGATTTATTTATTTCAAATCAAAGCAATAGAGAGAGAGAGAGAAACAGTGAAAGAGAGAGAGAGAAAGAGAGAGAGAGAGGGAGAAACAGATCTATCATCTGCTGGTTCACTTTCCAGATGGCTCCAGTGGCCTCGCTGGGCCAGGACACAGCCAGGAGCCAGGAGTTCATCTGAGTCTCCTACATGGATAGCAGGGACTCAAGCATTTGTACCACCTTCTGTTGCTTTTCCCAGGCCATTAGCAGGAAGTTGGTCAGAAGCCGAGCAGCTGAGCCTCAAACTGGCACCTGTATGTGATGCCGGCGACATAGGCGACACTTTATTCATTATGCAACAACATCAGCCCCATAACAATGATTTATTTTTATTTTTTTTTATTTTTTTTTTGACAGGCAGAGTGGACAGTGAGAGAGAGAGACAGAGAGAAAGGTCTTCCTTTGCCGTTGGTTCACACTCCAATGGCCGCCGCGGCCGGCGCGCTGCGGCCGGCGCACCGCGCTGATCCGATGGCAGGAGCCAGGAGCCAGGTGCTTTTCCTGGTCTCCCATGGGGTGCACGGCCCAAGCACCTGGGCCATCCTCCACTGCACTCCCGGGCCACAGCAGAGAGCTGGCCTGGAAGAGGGGCAACCGGGACAGAATCCGGCGCCCCGACCAGGACTAGAACCCGGTGTGCCGGCGCTGCTAGGCGGAGGATTAGCCTATTGAGCCGCGGCGCCGGCCAACAATGATTTTAGTAAGTTTATTAGCTCTAGGTCTGAGGCATGGAAAGACAGACACAGGAGAAGAATGGTCTTAGAAATAAACCAGCAGTCTCTGCAGCCCCAGGTGGTTTCTTAAACTCTGTGTTCATATGAAGATTTTTGTGCAAGCTCCTCATAGGCTGAAAATGATGGGGGGGCAGGAGCAGTGGAGCACTCAGACAGGACTGCAGGAGACCTGGAGCTGGTATTATGCTTGCTCTGGATGATGTGATCTCAGGAAACTTCTTGTCATTTAAGCCTCAGATTCTTCCTGTGTAAAGTGAGGATCAGACATGAAAATCCTTTAGGGAACCCATGAGAATAGTGGGATACAAGATGAACAAAGCAGGTAAGCCTTAGTCCTTTACAGGGCCTCAGGTGTGATGAGGAGGACACCCTAAACAGAGAGGTGCTCTGAATGGGGACAGAAGAGGTCTGGGTTCCTCCCTCTTCCTTTTGGGGCCAACCTAAGCTGGGCATTTGTGTCTCTAAGAGAGCCCGTGATGGATGCATTTACTCCTGGTTGCTGCTCAGACCTTCCAAGGAGGATGTTTTCTCTTCCAACTTAAGTGCCTCCTGCCCAGGGGAATCCCTCAGAACCGCAAAGTCACAGCTGCCTTTGTGAAAGAGGAGAAGGATCCTGTGTTCTGCTTTCTGCACCTGTTTAGACTTTGCCAACCTCTATTGCTCCAATTTGATTGCTTTCACTGCCTCTTTTTTCTAAAGTTTGCTTTGGCTAGATTTCATTTGCATCCACATTTTAACTGCCTTCTTGAACTTAACTTGGAGATATCTCCCCTGCTTTCCAATCACTCATGCTTAATTGTCAGACACAGCTGGGGGATCAGAGGGTGAACCTTGAGACACCTCTGCTGCATTCATATCCACAGTGTCAGATATTAGAGGCAAATCAATCATCATTTTTATGCTCCAACTCCTTTCTTTACAAAATGGGAAAAATACTGATTTTTCACCTCACAGAAGCAAACTTGAATTAAACTTGAGCAAACCTGATAATCTCTCAATCAGTTGCTCTTAATCATGCAGATGCAAGCTATGCTCTTTCTACAAGGACATTTGCATGAACATCTCTCTCTCAATTCTAAGTGCTACCTTTTTCTACCTCCAATCACAGTCACCCCTCACAGAAATGCTTCCATCAGCAAAGGAAACTCTATTAAAGATATCTTGGGAGAGAAAATGCAGTTGGTTCATAGGAGACACTACACACAGCACACCACTTAGCAGCCTTCCATGATTGCCCCACCTTTCACTAACTCTTTTCAGGGGCACTCACACCTGGCAGTCACCCTCTGCCTCCACTTCCTTTCTGTTAGCAGTTCATCTCAGGCTCAGATCTTTCCCCTACACTGTGATTCAGTGTAGTGCTCCTCTGTATGCCTTCACTCATTGAATATGTATTGAGAAAACTTGTAGCACACGAAGCTACAAACCAAGGAGCTAAGAAGTGCTCCTGGCTTCAGTGCTGACCGTCTAGTCCACAAGGCCCTGCCGTCCTCACACCTGTGCTAACAAGAGGTCGCCTCTTCTCACGGCCCTACAGCTAGGTCTACTTTATCCTCATTGCATGGACCACTCTTAGTCATGGGGGGGGGTGTATTAATCACCTCCATGTCTTTGAAATTCCTGAAACTTAAAGTGAGTTTCTGGCCCAGGGCAGGGTAATACATGGGTCCATTGCACTATCACATTGAATGAGGTTGTTTGAACCATAGAACATTTCCATGTCATTTAGATGAAATGAACTGCAAAAGAAAGACTCCAGTACGTGGAGTCAGCAGGAACATGTTGTGACTCCATGTTCAAGTAGTCCCCAACTCTTGATAAGTTATTTTTCTCTGCAAGCTTCCATTTCCACCCTCTGAAACACAGGAAAAGGAATTCTCACATAACGACACAGATCTGAGGATCAGCGATATGGCAGCAAAGTTCAACTCTTTGTTTCTGTTCCCAGGGACACCAGTGGAGGCATTCCAAGCCTGAATCCAGCTATCCCAGCATGGGGGACAACACTCGCACCAATCGCAAGAGCAAGTCCATATGATGATGGAGCTTTTTATGCAGAGCGGGTGATCCTAAGCGCACTGATCATCACCATTGCCATTGTTGGGCTGGCAGGAAACGCGGCTGTGCTCTGGCTCCTGGGCTTCCGCGTGCGCAGAAACGCCTTCACTGTCTACGTCTTCAACCTTGCCGGGGCCGACTTCCTCCTGCTCAGCTGCATCCTCATAGATTTCCTGATTTTTGCCATCCATTATTTCCATCTTTCCACCTTCTCCTTCTATATAACAAATTTACTATTATTCATGACATTCTTCCCCTACATCGAGGGCCTGAGCATGCTCAGTGCCATCAGCACCGAGCGCTGCCTGTCTGTCCTGTGGCCCATCTGGTACCGCTGCCACCGCCCCAGACACCTGTCAGCTGTCATGTGCACTCTGCTCTGGGCCCTGAGTCTGGTACTGAGCATGTTGAATGGGAAATACTGTTTATACTGGGGTAACTCTTCTGACTATTTTAAGTGTATGAAAATTGATTTCACCATGGCCTCCTGGCTGATTTTCTTACTTGTGGTTCTCTTGGGGTCCAGCCTGGCTCTGCTGCTCAAGATCCTCTGTGGCTCCCACCGGGTGCCACTGACCAGGCTGTATGTGACCGTCCTGCTCACAGTGCTGGTCTTCCTGCTCTGCGGCCTGCCCTACGGCTTCTTCTTCTTCCTGGTAACCTGGATTGAGCATTTTAATTATAAATCCTTCAACCGTACGTACCTGGTTATGACTCTTCTCTCCAGTGTTAACAGCTGCGCCAACCCCATCATTTACTTCTTCGTGGGCTCCTTTCGGCAGCGCCAGAGGCAGCCCCTCACAGAGGTTCTCCAGAGGGCTCTGCAGGGCAGTCCTGAGGACCAGGAATGAGGTGGTAGCCTGGGCTGCTGACGAACAGCCTCAGCTGTGGTCAGTCAGATGTGGCTTGGAGAGGTGACACCACCCTGCTGCACGTCACAGGTACAGCTCTGCTCTCAGCTTCAGGGTTCTGAATCAAGTCAGTGACTCCTCACCATCTTCCAGGAGGCTTACTTAACCTGACTTTTCTTGTTCGTGTTAGAGAAAGAACACTAAAATAAAAATCTCCATCATTCTTGATATGGTCAACATATTTCTCATCTTACTCTGAATATTTCTTGTCAAATGATGCTCTTTGCAGTTCCATTGCAATGGAAAGAATGTCTTCAAAAACCATAAACCTTTGTTCACAACTATTTTCTACATGAAGCTGTAGAAAAAGAATACTGCTTATTCATTAGTCAGGCAATGTTTCACTGAGGATCGTGTCCAGATACACAATGGGGGAACTGGCTGGTACAATACTTGGTTCTGAATTGCTAAGTTCTGCTAGCTCTAATTCCTGACTTGTTTAAGTTTTTGGAAGGGAACTGTCCTTAGACAGTCTCTACCTGCATAGAAACACTCCAGGAAACTGGGGTTATGAAAAGTCATCTAGAGGCATTTATCCATGGCTTGATGGCACAGTACACTCTCCCATAGACATGGGCTGAAGGAACAATGTTGTGAGTCAGGTGACCACAGAAGGTCATGTCTCCTACGCTATGACTATAATGATGATGAGCACATACTCTTCTCACCTATTTGACAGCTTCCTGGGATTCAGAGAGGTTGATTTGATGCTCTTTCCTTAGGAAGATATTCTATGGATCAGGTGCCAAGATTTTAGTACAACAATGCTGGCACACAAAATTATTCATAGTTATTTAAATCCAATTGAAACTTGACCCCTGTTAAAAATAAAAATGGGAATAAGAGAGGGAGGAGATGTACAGTTCAGGAAATGGTCCCTCGGACTTACCCCTACGGGTAAAGCCAAAAACTTTCCATGAAACTCCAAATCCCTTTAAGTTGGCAGGTACCAATATCATCTTACTAGTTAAAGGGATCTGTTTAAGTGCTTAAGTGATCATAAAGATAGGAATAAGTGTCAAAGCAATCATATAAGCAAGAACAAGTGTCTGCTAGTAATAATAGAGTTAAAAAGGAAAGAATGATACAACATTGGAAGCAGGCCACACAGTAGACAAATAGAAGGACAAAAGCCCTAAACAGGCCTCAGAATCAGCCCTTAAGGCATTCGGGTCTTGCTAAAAAGCCTATGAGAGTTTCTCAGGCATGGAAAGCCAAGACACTTTGGCAAAAAATGATCTACATGAAGGATCTCTGTGATTGAGATCCCAGTAGAAAGGAGGGGCCATCAAAGAAGGAGGTACCATTCTCTGAAGGGAGGAGAGAACTTCCACTTGACTATGGCCCTGTCTAACTGATTTTGGAGTTTGTGGACTCAAGAGGCTTCCATAGCATTGGCAGCTCCTGATAAGAGCCTCAGGTGATCACTGACATCATAAATAAGAGTGTCAATTGTTTCATCAACAACAGGAGTCACTGTGCAATTGCTCCCCATGTAGGACCTCTGTTGTTAATGAGTTGTATTATGAGAATTAACGGTAAAACTAGTCTTCAAACAGTGTGGGGAGCAACTGGGAGCAACTCGGACTAGACTAAGTTACTGGAATTAAGACTTATTCTATGCATCTGCTCTCCCACAATATGGCGCTGAGAAGGGAGAAACAGCTTCTACACAGCTGCCTCCAGTTCCACCAATAAACTGTAGGACCTGCTCCTGATTGGAGGAGAGCAGCGTACTTGGCGTGTGGGTAGCAGAGTTGGGATTGGCGGAAGAGTACTATAAAGGAGGAGAGAGACAACATGCACCAAGAACATCTAAGAGGAACATCTGTGCAGCCCCCGAGAGAGCCGGCCGGCGGTGTGCCGCTCCCCCACGGAAGTGGGGAATGTGGCAGGGGGAACCGCCCTTCCACGGAGGTGGAAGGGATGGTAGCCAACCCAGGAAGGACCAGCAGCCAACCCGGGAAGAACCAGCAGCAAACCCGGGGAGGGCCGAGCAGACGAAAGAACAGCGCAGGGTCCTGTGTCATTCCTCCACGAAGACGGGGAGCGACATAATGGTGCCGTGACTCGGATATGAAGCCTAGGCAGGGCTTAGTGTCGTTCCTCCATGAAGAGGGGGAGCGACAAAACAGTACATTATACTTTGTGTGTCTGTGTGGGTGCAAACTATTGAAATCTTAACTTAGTATAGAGTTGATCTTCTGTATATAAAGAAAATTAAAAATGAATCTTTTTTTTGACAGGCAGAGTGGATAGTGAGAGAGAGAGACAGAGAGAAAGGTCTTCCTTTTGCCGTTGGTTCACCCTCCAATGGCCACCACGGCTGGTGGGCTGTGGCCGGCACACCGCACTGATCCGAAGGCAGGAACCAGGTGCTTCTCCTGGTCACCTGTGGGGTGCAGGGCCCAAGCACTTGGGCCATCCTCCTCTGCCTTCCCTGGCCACAGCAGAGAGCTGGCCTGGAAGAGGGGCAACCGGGACAGAATCTGGCACCCCGACTGGGACTAGAACCTGGTGTGCCGGTGCCGCTAGGTGGAGGATTAGCCTATTGAGCCATGGCGCTGGCCAAAAATGAATCTTAATGAAGAATGAGATGAAAGAGGGAGTAGAAGGTTACACGGGATGGGGTTGGCACAGCGGGTATGGGGAGGAAGAACAGCTATAATCCAAAAGCTGTACCTATGAAATTTATATTTATTAAATAAAAGCTTTCTAAAAAATTATGGTTATAGAGATCCTACATGAGGAGTAAGTGCACAGTGACTCCTGTTGTTGACTTTACAAATTGACACTCCTGTTTATGGCATCAGTAATCTCCCTATGCACCAGTCATGAGTTTCCAAGGCTATGGAAGCCCCTTGAGTTCTCCAACTCTTATCTTGTTTAGACAAGGTCATAGTCAAAGTGGAAGTTCTCTCTTCCCTTCAGAGAAAGGTACCTCCTTCTTTGAAGACCTGTTCTTTCCACTGGGATCTCACTCACAGAGATCTGACATTTAGGTGTTTTTTTGTTTGTTTTGTTTTTGTTTTTGTTTTTGTTTTTGTTTTTGTTTTTGTTTTTGTTTTTGTTTTTGCCAGAGTGTCTTGGCTTTCCATGCCTGAAATACTTTCATGGGCTTTTCAGCCAGATCGGAATGCCTTTAGGGCTGATTCTGAGGCCAGAGTGCTGTTTAGGACATCTGCCATTCTATGAGTCTGCTGAGTATCTCGCTTCCCATGTTGAATCACTCTCCCCTTTATTTATTCTATCGGTTAGCATTAGCAGGTACTAGACTTGTTTATGTGCTCCCTTTGACTCTTAGTCCTTTCATTATGATCAATTGTGAACTGAAATTGATCACTTGGACTAGTGAGATGGCATTGGTACATGCCACCTTGAGTCACTGTGCACTTACTCCTCATGTAGGATCTCTGTCCTTAAATGTGCTGTACATTGGAGGCTTAATGCTATAAAAAGTACTCCAACCAGTATATTTCACCTTTGGGGTTTCTATGGGGTG